TTGTACAGCTTGGGAAAGTGAAGCCTAGAGAGGGTTAAATGACTCGCCCACAGTTGCAGAATGAGTCAGTAGCGGAGCGGTTAGGAGTCGTGTCTGCTATGCTGAGCCGTGGCCAGCTGCGAGGCAGACTGAGGTGCCCAGGCTGTGTGTGCACCATGGGCACCCTGCATTGGCATCTGCTGTCGGACGTGCTCCAGTGGGAAATGTCCGTTTGCTGAGGGCTCCTGCTTGCTGTCCCCAGAGTGACAGACACACTGGCTGTCCCTCGGGCTAGGCCAGCTGTAGCTTCTGAGGCTAGGTCTACACTACCCGCCTGAATCGTTGGGTAGAAATCGATCTCTCGGGGATCGAATTATCGCGTCTCGTCGGGACGCGACAATCGATCCCCGAATCGACGCTCTTACTCCACCAGCGGAGGTGGGAGTAAGTGCCGTCGACGGGGAGCCGCGGAGGTCGATTTTGCCGCTGTCCTCGCAGCGGGGTAAGTCGGCTCCGATAGGTCGAATTCAGCTACGCTATTCGCATAGCTGAATTTGCGTATCTTAAATCGACCCCCCCTGTAGTGAAGACCTGCCCTTAGACCAGAAGGGACCATTTCAATCACCGAGTCTGACGTCCTGTAGCACACAGGCCAGACGGCTTCTCTGTATTGATTCCTGCAGACGGGCGTGAGAGACTCGCACTGTGTAGCGCTTCAGGACTCCCAACTGCAGCACATCTGACCCTGTAACCTGCTAGTCGTGAGACGCTTGTGCAAGGGGGGAGCGTTACACAGAGCTGGAACTGACACACTTACAATCCTGACGCATGGACAGCAGGGCTGGAGGAGCCTTGGGAGACTCTGGCCTTCCTCTGAACACGTCTTAAAATGAGGATCACGTCAGACGGTGAGAATGTGGGGCATTAGCAAGCCACCTGCCAGCCGCTCGTCTGGGCGCGTCTGGCTTCTTGAAGCGGCTGCTCTCCCCTCCACTGCCCTGGTGGCTGCACGGCCACCTGTCTGGGAAAGACGAATCACACAGCCGCTCTTTGTTCCCCAGATGTAAGGGTTTCAACCAGAACTCTTCCAGGCGGGTGATCTGGGATGGGGGCGGGGAAGGAAGAGCTCCAAACCTAGCACCTAAGAACCCAGCGGGAGAACTGAAGAATAGGCAGGTGCCCAAGACTGGGACTTTGTGGGGCGTCTGGCAGCCAAACCCCACCGCCGTCAGTGGGAGTTGCTCGGTGAATTACCTTGGGGAAGTGCAGCCCAGATCTTTAGGTGTGAAGACCTTGAGGATTGTTTTTGCCCAGGCTAATCTCACATACAAACAGCCCCCCCACCCCAATCACCGCTCCGGCTGTGCTTTACATGCATTGCCTCCGAAATAATTAAGAAGCCCATTTGCCAGCAGATGCATCTCACGCACTGAGTTCTCTGCAATCAGCAGAACTCCTCCTGCCAGCAGCAAAGCCCGGTATTGGGTTGCTCGACAATCATTGCCAGTGGGCGAGAGAAGCGGCCGCGTTGCATAAGGAAGTGATTTTCAAGTGATGGAGATGGAAGTCTGGGGAACCCCCTCGGGTTTCTCCTGAGTGCTGAAATGGGAGCGCTTCCCGGGCCTGGGAAGCATATGTTGGTGTTAGCTGGGGGCTGTGTTAACAGATCCCATAGTCCGTCTCAAATGTTCAGTGCTTCATTTGAGTGGGGAGGAGCCAAGCCGTGCTTTGCTGCACCCAGCTGCCGTCCGGCTGCCTCCTCTGGATTTAGGGCCTTTCTGGAACTAGCGGGTGATAAATGAGGTTTGGAAGAGCTGAGGATTGCAAAGGGAGGGGCCCCCCAGAGTCATCCAGCACGTGCCGCAGTAAAAGGCTTTTAATGGACAGGGGCTGCAGGGCAGAGCAGACTGAAAAGCTGGCAATTGTAAATAGCGCCTGTGGGGAAATGAGAGCATAAAGGAAACTGGCTAGCGCTCTGGCTGGGGCCCTAACAACAGGAGGGCAGCGCGGTGTAGCACAGGCTGGCCAGGGTTGACT